ACACACACACACACACACACACACACACACACACACACACACACACACACACACACACACACACACACATACATATATATATATATATATATCGTTGCGCATCTTGTCATTCCACTAAAATCCGCGAATGCTCGGAAAATGCATCCATTTAAACCACCTTCGCTATTCCTTTTTCAACAGCTCGACCCGCTGGATGGGGGCACGGATAACGGCTTCACATTCACGGCTGCCAACTGGCCAACGCAGCCCCAAGGAATCGCTTACAGGATCACATCCCGATATCCGGCACATCCCGCGGGAAGCTTCTATTATCCGAATCTACCTCGTCTACCGCCGATAGCTACCCTCACATTCACCAAGGTACATATCTCATATCCCCCGTGCACACGCTATCCTTTATTTTCTCCGCATTACTTCATGTGTGAAATAAATTGATTAACTCGGTAAAAATAAAATCTTTTTACATAAAGCTTTGCGCGTAATTATCCTGAAACAGTACAAAACTCGAAAATCATACTTTCTACTCACATGTAGAACGATGAAAAGATAATAAGATAAATGAATTTCGCTTATGAATCGCTTTTAAACACTTTTGTTTTTCAAGAATTTAGAAACTCACAAATTATATGTCTTTTAGTGGCTCGATATTATCTCATTCTTTTATGCATTTAACGCTTTGATTTCATCAGAGCTCTTTTGTCATCTGGTATAAAATAGCCGCGCAGCAGCAGCCCATTAAAAGAACATCGAGCTTCAGTAATAACCATTAATTTATTTCCCCGGTATTGATACGCTGCGTAATAAATGCCCTGACAATATCAGTTTCAACATAAAACTGATTAATTGCATTCGCTGTTTAAACGATCTAATAATTCTCGTACGAGACGGCCTGATAATATAGGCTCGATAATGCGAGACCGGACAATGCTTTATTGTGCCAATTTTCGAATATCGAGCACCAAGTATGCTGAAATTATATATTTCTACTGATATATTTTGCTTCATAAACGGGACGGTCAAGTGATCGATATACATACATTTTAAATATTTATTTTAAAGAAATTATATCGCTATTGTTTTTCTTGATATCTCACCGCGAGTGAATTTGTATCCAAATACGAATCGCTGAATTATTTTATCTTCGTTATCTTACATCCTTTTCCTCATTGCTGACATTAAATACATTTTCGAGACGTAAGAAGGATGGCTCGACTCAACGCAAATATTTGTTTTTCGAAGCCATGCGAAAAGGCTCACCCTTAGGTTTACCCATCACCTTGCGTTCCTCCAAACATCGAAGCTATCTTCGTGAAGTTATTTTCCACCTTATTGCCAAACCGATATCTCTAACCCAATTTTTTCGTCGAAAAGTTAGATATTAATATTATCTGAAAAGGTTATTTCAGAAAGCTTTCAAAGAAAGATTTCAAAAGAAAATCTGAATGTTTTGGACATGTTTAATATACAAGAATATACAAGTGCTATTACTAATCAACGATTATTTTCAATATATTAGACAGTTGATAAAATTTTAAAATTAAATAAATTAAATAAATTAGGAACAATCGATATCGCAAGCATTACATGTTATCCAAAGATAAATAATTTATATTGATCAAAGATTCGTAAACATAACGACTTTCAACTTTTTCCTGTCCACAGTATGATACTCGCGGTAATGTAATTCGAGCGACAACGACTCACATTAACTCGCTAATTATCTTTGCCTACAGTCCATCCTATCGCTCTCCTTTCCTGACTCCTCTTCATCTGCTTCCAACCTCTCTTTGACTCGTGTCACCTCTGCTTCCGTTTTCGCATAGGGCAAAGGGATGGCCCGCCTACTAAATTCCTCTCCCTTACTCAACCTCACTTACCACTTAATTACCAAACTTCTGTCGCTAATATCCGATATACTCTCTCACAGCTTCCTCTCTCCGTTTTCTCGCTAGCCTTCTGTTCCTCCTTTGACTTTTGCCGGTTTATGATAACGTAATCTGCATTTGCTACTTTCAGCAGATTTATTAGTTTCATGTAAAAACAGGATAAAAAATGATTCGCGACATGAGATCTACGGAGATATAATTTAATATGCTGTAAGACGAATTCTTTATTAATAATTCTTAATTAATTTATTTTACATTTTTCCCATTTTCAATATTAATGCATGTTAGTAAAGATATTTAAGCGGAATAAGTTGTAAGTTATATTCTGTCAGATTTCAAGTAATCCATTTTTCAAATAATCCAAATTGGTATGTGTCACGTGTAGTCTTTTTTGGCGCTTAAGATATATTATACTAAGATATAATACAATCATCGTAATATATGTGTCATTTTATTTCTGTTATATTTTCACGAATGGCTATCAAGAGCCAGTTTCAGCCCCACTGAGAAGAAGAGTTGCTCGCAGTTGCGCTTGCGACCCTACTGTTTCCATTAAACTTCATGCTTCCGGAACTCCATTAAACTGAAAATCAGACCGCCTAATGTAATGCCCATTTCGTACAACAACGTACAACAACGCGCCCATTATCGCCCTAAAGTGTCCGGCTTCGCGAAATCGAGGACATTTGTTTACGCCACTTGGCTTTGAATGATGGAAGCATGATCAGTATTGAAACGAAAATTAGCGTATGGATTATTATATGAATTCGTACATTATTGTGAGACATGTTTATGGCGCGAACAACAGCTATTTATTGAATAATAAATTCAATATAATAATTACTTACAATTTAATATTCAACTTACGATTTAATATTATATTCATATACGTGATATTGAAGATTATATTTATTTATATTAGATAATATGCAAAGTATGCAATATGTAAAGCACGTAACAATTCGACAAATAGTTTGTCATTTCAAGAAATTTAGAGCGGGGTCGTTTGTAAATTTCTTGAGATGACAAACGAATTTAACGTGCCAAAATTTATTATATTATGGAAAGCACGTTCCTAAAATTAAATTTGCGGCGGAAGATGCGGCGTAGCATGCTAACGTCTGCGAAAAGGCTAAAATATTTAGTCTTTAAATAGAAAGAAGGAAATTACTGAGGTGGAAAAGGAAATTTTAATTAAAAAAATAACAATATAACAGATTTAATTCGAAATTTTCCCGAGTTGGCATATTTGTGGGCTAATTACACTGATTAAAATAAAATCGCGATCTAAAATTAATTTCGTAAAAACTTAAAATATATAAATACTATTCTCAAGTGGCAAAAAATATACGCGAGTATCTCTTGAGCATATGCAATTAAAGGTTCAATCTATTTCAATCGAGGTCGGTCGTGTCGCACCTCTTAGTTCTCTCATTGCAAAGTTTTCTCGAAAAATAATATCTGGATAAAAACAATAACGTGTAAATAATGTAATATCATAATTATAATGATATATTGAAAAACAAAGTATTTTAATATGTCGTCATAAGTCATAAAGATGCATCTTTTTTAAAAACAATATATAATATTTAAAAAAATATTTTGTTTAAGATAATATCTAAAAGTATTTTAATTAAAAATTAATTATATAACCCCAACTTGTTAACTTTTGAAAACCCTTTATATTCTGCTGTAGCAAATACAGTAAGACGATACTATTTTATCAAGATACTAATTTTCATGAAATGTTAGTCTCTAAAAACAATATTCAATTTTATCAAAAAAAAACTTAATTTTATTATACTTTTCAATCGATTATTGAATCAACTTTTCCACTAGAAATGACATTTTCTTTAAATATTGCAATGCAATGGAAGCTGGCCAACGTTTGCAGACAGCTAATATTTATCCCGATCGATTATCAATTGTTGATGTTGATCTCGCGCGAATACAATTTTATACAAACGACTAATACGCGCGTGACGTGTTAATTATCATCGAGTATGGTTGTCCGCGTAGGGATAATTAGTGTCTCTTGAGGCTAGTGTGCGCGGACGTGCTGGAGTATGAGTCACCAACCACGGATATGGATAAATTGAGGTCTACGGCGGTGAGCCAAATCATCGCGAGCCGAATTAGCTAAATCGACTCGAAAATGGTGCAGCACCCTAAATTAATTTAAATGTCAGAAATTGAATTAGGGGCTTACACGCTTTCACTCGTCGAAAGCACGATGTCGATTACAATCAGGCCCATATTTCTCGCAAAGATTGATGACACAGGAAGAATATAAATTGCATAATAGCATTGTTACAACAGTATATTATTATATTCGATAAAATATCTATTTATTGTCAGAAAAGAACAGAACATCTTCTATGAATATTTTTTATAACATTAATTTAATAAATTTATAATATTAATAATATTATAATTTTTATAATATTTTTCAAATATTTTTTAAACACTTTAATTCGCGTATCAATTGAATTCGAGTCAGTTATCGATGCTCTCTTACGGTACAATATGTGCTAATTCGCCCACCCAAAAATACCATTCAAATCGCGGGATACATCCAAATCTTCCCTCGGGATAACTCGTGATCACGCTCTGGGGGCTGGTAACGCATGAATTACTATAGTCGAGTGCTGCAGATAAAGGGCTATATTCGCGTTGGCGTGCGGAATCGGCGTGGAGCGGATTAGGCAGATTAAACAGATTAAGCCGAAGCAGTAAGGACCGTTTGCCTGCCTCTCGCACAGAGGGGGCTCGTTCAAACCCTGCCGCCGTATCAACGTCAACGCCCTAAACTTTGCGATAAGGAGCCACTTTGGTAAAGACGAAGTGGCACATGGTGGCTGCTGTGTGCGTGTGAGCGTAAACTCAACATGCGAAATCCCGACCTCGCGATTGTACATCGTTGCAATCGACGGCGCGTTTCTTGATGTCGAATGATTCACGAATTTACGATATGCTCAGAGCATTATCACGTTGCTTCACTCTTTCATAAACAATATTGCAGAGAATGCGTATCACTTATTATATTATATTATATTATATTCTCAAATGCAAATTTATAGAAATAATTATCTCACAAATACGCGACAAATATAAAAAAAAATTTTATCGTTTCTTTGTAACAGTCTCGTCTTGGTGATGATATTGAAAATTGGATTTCGGTTAGGGATAAAATGGCGGAATATATCGGCGTATATGAGGAAAATGCCGAGCACGCAATCGGAGCAAACATCAAGAGTGTGCTTTCGAAAGCGCCGACTACGTGTTTGGCTCCTCCAAACGCGTGAAGAAAACCATGATTACTTTTCTACTCGCGCTATCGTAAATGTATACAAATGTGTAATAATCCGTATGCAGCATATGCAACTTATTGCCGATACACGGATTTATGTGAAGAAAACAAATATATCAGACTTCTCCCAGTTATAAGATAATAACAAAAGATTTACAAGAGTT